CTTGCCCTTACATGTGGTTTTTATACCCAATGAGACTCTTTGGAGAAAACTAATTTTTCCTTTGTGATTTGTTGTCAATTGGAGATAGCTTCTTTGTTAGGGATGGGAGATTTTTATCTCCACATCCCTCTCTCAGTGCTGACTCCACCATCCCCCAATCTGGCTTTGCTGTGTGCAGGCCCTGTGCATGGTTCCACAGTGTGTGTGAGTTGATATGTATGTCAGCCTGTTGTGTGTGAAAGGCATTGTTTCCTTTGTGTCTTTCATCCTCACCTGCTCTTGTAATCTTTCTGCTCCCTCTTCTGCTCTAAGCTCTCAAGGAAGTAGTTTGATGGAGAAATCTTGTTTAGGACTAAGTGCTCCAAAGTTTCTCACTGTCTGCACATTGTTCAGCTGTGTGTCTCTGTATTTGTTCCCATCTACTGCAGAGGGAAGTTTCTTTGATGATTACTGAGAAAGACACTTATCTCTGGGTATAGCAAAATGTTGTTAGAGTCATTACATTGGTACAGCCATTAAGCAGAATAGTATTTGGTTTTTCCTATGTCCATGGCCCATCTAGTCCCAGGTTCTTGGCCACCTGGACAGTGTTAGGCATGGGTTCCATTTTGTGGAGTGGGTCTTAAACCCAATTAGATAGTTGGCCTCTGTTATAGGGCCCAAACACCTGTAACCAGACAGGGATAGGCCCTCATGGAGAATCTACTACTATTACTGTTTTGACTTGACATAGTATGAAGCTGACTCCCAGTGACTTATCGCTGTACTCATAGATGAATGTAACAATCTACCATCATCAGAAAAGTCTCATCAGTTGGTGGCAATAAAACAGACACACAATTGGTCAAGAAGCAGGGGACAAGAGACTTCAGAATGTTAGTCTATAACTGGCACCTGTATCACAGCCTGTGTGGAAAAACTGTGGACTCACTGTCAACTCTGGATGGGGCAGAGTTCAGAATGCTCATCCCTCAAGATGGCCTTCTAGAAAGAATTGCATAAACTATGATAAGCAAATGCATTTGAAAGCAAGGACATGAATAGAATGGACTGGCATGTCCACCTCATCTCTGTGGAAAAGGCAAAGACCTAGGAGGAGTATCATTGGCTCTTTTCACATGAGCAAAGACGATAAGACACAATACTGGTTATGTTCCCTGTCTATACTTGTATTTGTTTAAGCTAACTGCAAATGTCATCTCATGTTTTGCTTTCCTTAATAAAAAAAAGTGATGAGTGCTTTACACTATGCTTGAACTCTAATGCTTGGAGGTTTTGGTTACTCCATGTTGATATTTTGGTATATCCTTCAATCTGTGAAGATTTAATCTTGATGGCCAGGGTGGGTTGACAACAGCCCCCTCCTTCAAGGCTGAGGTATCATTGTGGAAATGGAGAGGAAAGATTGTAAGAACAAGAGGTGGTGGGATGACAAAAGGAAATAGGGTATTTAAAACACAGCAGAGCAGTTGTACATATAAATTCACAGTGATTGTGATTGTGACAACATGTACAAGATCTGTGTAAGGTCAAGCCATGGTTAGTATGGAAATGGGAGGTAGACATGATGTTTAACCCCTATCTGAGTAGCTATTTATGATTCATGACTGTTAGGAGAGGGAGAGTTCATTTTCTTTTTTAAATTTTTAAAAATTTATTCTATGAACTTCCAGGAATGGCTACATCATTTTCATTTTTACTCTTCCATTTGATTAAAAAACAATCCTATGTTTTCTCCAAACCTTCATTTTACCCCTCTTTTTAGTTAAAAATGGTCTAATGGGTTTGAAATGATACCTCACTATGGTTTAAATTTGTATTTCTTAAATAACTAACAATGTTGAATATGAGTCATCTAAAGTGTGAAGAATTTTGTAGGACTTCTCACTACACGGTAACTTCTATAATCAACAAAAATTAGAAATTGTTTTGTTTGTTTGGTTTTTTTTTTCTGTCTGTTTGGCTTTCCATGATATAGTCTTTCTATGCATCCTATCATCCTGCTTTTAATTCTTCAGTGCTCATATTATAAAGATTTCCATCATATCTTTAATATAGACAGTAATCACAATACAGCTATATAATTCCGTTGACTTAAGATAGGAAATGTTTATTTATTGCTTGTAAACATTTCTGAAGCTCTCTGTAAAACAGAAGATCTATTGCCTTCTTTATGATAGCTTAATATTCCAATCTAAAAAATAATAAATGAGAAGAATGAGCAGGGGTACCTCAAGATGTGTTAGCTGTGGATCAATTAATATAAGTATGTATGTAAATGCTATAAAATAACCTGTAAATTTATATGCTCGAGTTCATTTTCTTTAAGAGTGTTGCTCCTGGGAGGTGGACCATACTCCAATGGAAGGACACATATCCAGGAGTATATGGGTAGCACAAACTGTAGTTGATGTTTTTTTTAAAAAAGAGAACACAAAATTGGATAGATAAGGAAGAGGGTATGAATTATGGAGGAGTTGAGGGAAGGGATGTTATAATAAAAATATGATACAAAATCCTCAGGATAAAATACCATAATATATTTTATACATTTTATTTGCTTATTTTATGAATGATCAATAAATTTATCAGCACTGAATAGTCCTCCATAGACGTAACACCTAGAAACCATAACAATGACCAGTGTGGCAAGATATTCCTAAAGGAGCAAGCAGTAGTAGAACTTACGCCTTGGCTGTAACCAAGAACTCTCTAATTGGACTTAGGGCCTGCTCAGCTTGAGTGAAATCATGACTGTTGCTGGAAACCTAGCCAACTAGCTAGGGTTAGTAAGGTTATGGGTATTAGAGGAGAACCTACTATCACCAGTTTACTAGACCAGTGTAATTCCTAACTTCCTTTTATAAACTTTCCCTATACTCACAGGTTAAGTCTAGCTTTTATCACTTATCAAGGAAACTTCTCTTTGCAACATATGGAGACCATTACAGAAAACTACAACTGGCCAAAGTGCAGAGATCAATGTATTGTGAGGTACCCAGCATCAGTGGATACATTTATAATACAACTCCTGCACCCAAGGCTCAGGAAACATTGAGGAAGAGAGGACAGAAAGATTGTAAGAGAAGTCTGCTATGAGACTGTGTCTCAGAAATGACAGAAAATCTGCAGCCATGATACCTCAACAATTTGGCTGAGTGAACAAGACATGAGCATGGAAGAATTGGAGGAAGGGATCATGGGATGGATTAGAGGGAGGAAAGGGGAAGAGGGGAAATGATGTAATTGTATTATAATTAAAATGAAAAATTTAAAAATTATTTTATATGTATGGGTATTTTGCCTAAGTGTATGTCTGTGCAACATGTTTGTGTACTGTCATGTTGGTGCTGAGAAGCAAACCTGGGTCTTCTGGAGGAGCAGCTGGTGCTCTTAACTCTAAGCCATCTCCTTAGCCACCACATTTTTCTTTTAAACTCATTTTCTTTCTTTTTTTTTTTTTTCATTGATGGATCAAAATTCCTATTAGGCATCTACAGTTTTCTTAAGCTATACTTTAGGATATCTTTATGCTAGATATATTTTAGTAAGGCATCAAATACTGTATTAAACACAAGATAAAACATCATTTGTATTTATTATTGCAAATCATGAAAGTAATAGGATTATATAATAACCACTACCACCATAGTGTAAAGATGAAACCATTAACACTATTACTTAATCAAGATTTAAATTTTATGAGACTGATGTGCTACCTACGGGGCTAACGAGGCACCTGCTGACCCTACCCGCCATCACAGAGCCTTTGTCCAGTGACTGATGGAGGCAGATGCAGAGATGCACGGCCAGGCGCCAGGCTGAGCTCCGGGAATCCAATTGATGAGAGAGAAGAGGGATTCTGCAGGTGAGGGACATCGAGATCATGGTGGGAAAATGTGCAGAGATGACCGGCCACACTAGTGGAAGCCCATGAACTGTAGACTAGTGGCTGTAGAGCCCCCATGGGACTGGACTAGGCCCTCTGGATACGGAAGTCGGTTGTATGGCTTGAACTGTTTGGAGGCAGGGTGATTGGGATCCGTTTCTGGTGCATGGGCAGGCTTCTGGGAATCCAATGCCTGTGGTGTGAGGCCTTGAGCAGCCTTGGTGCAGTGGGGAGGGGCTTGGACCTGCTTAGGCTCAGTGTGCTGGGCTCTGCTGACTCCCCATGGGAGACCTTGATTTGGGGGATGTGAGGATGTGGTGTGGCTTGGGAGGGAGGACTGGGGGGGATGGGAGGAGGGAGGGAGTGGGATCTGTGGGTGGTATGTAGAGTGAGTAGAAAATTTCTTAATAAAGAAAAATGAAATAAAGATTTAAATATTGTCTGTAATATTAAATATAAATTGTTCTAAACCTATTCTTTTTTCTTAGTTTATTGTTTAGGGTAAAAAATAAAGTACCAGGGGTCCCTCCATACTCACAGGTTATGCAGGAGTCAACTAAAAGGTGGGAAACAGTTGAACAAAAAATTGTATATATAGTGAACGTGCTTAAGCTATAGTCAGAATTTCCCAAACATTGTAGCTATTTACATAGAATTTACCCTGTGTTCAACACTTTCAGTAATTGAGATGATTTAAAATATACAATAGGATGTACATAGGAATATGGAAATACTGAGCCATTTAATGTAAGGCATTTGTGCACACATTTTAGCACCCTCATGGGGGTTCCTGAACCAATTCCCTGAGGATACTGAGGAACAGATAGAACTTAACATGGTGCCTGGGGCCAAGATCCTCTTGAAAGCTGGACTTAGAATAGACAATAAACACAATTATTCATTGAGATTGCCTCATCATTGTTTGCCTTAACTTTTTTTTTGGTGTGAAGTCATATTTTTATTTCCTGGAAGTGTTTCATACATAATTATTAAGAAATTTAAATGAAATAAAGTTTCTCAGTGAGAAAGCTAAAGATAAAAATTTTAAAGATATAGTTTATGGATGGCATATACTTTTAATGAAAAGTTGACTCTCCAGTAGTAAATGTTTCTACTTCTTGAAGAACAGTGTGATTCTTTTAACTGAGTCATTGAAGGCCTGTTTGACTTGTTTGTTTCTCAAGGTGTATATGAAGGGGTTCAGCATGGGAGCAATGGAAGTTGTGAGAACTGTCACACCCTTGTTGATAGCCACTGAATCCTTTGCTGATGGTTTGACATAGATGAAGATGCAGCTGCCATAAGTGATGGAAACCACAATCATGTGGGAAGAACAGGTAGAGAAGGCCTTTTTCCTTTGCTGGGCAGAAGGGAATCTTACAATGGTCTTGATTATGTAGACATAGGAAAGAACTACACACACAAGGGTCATGATAAATGTCAGCACCGCACAAACTATCACCATCTGCTCTATGAGCCATGTATCTGTGCATGAGATCTTCAGGAGGGGGGATGCATCACAGACAAAGTGGTCAATAACATTAGAGTCACAGAATTCCAGATTGAGGCCCAGGGTAAGTGGTGGCAGGACTACCAACAAGCCAGCTGCCCAGCAACAGAAGATAAGCCTTTGACAGATCTTGCTGTTCATGATGGTGACATAATGCAAGGGTTTGCAGATGGCTACATATCTGTCATAGGACATGATGGCCAGGAGAAAAAACTCTGTCACACCAAAAAGATCAGTAAAAAATATTTGAGTGGCACAGTTGTTATATGTGATTGTCTTGTCACCTGTTGAGATGTTGTATAAGTATCTGGGGATGCAAGCGGTTGTAAATGAGATTTCTAAGAAGGAGAAATTTTGTAGGAAAAAGTACATGGCAGTTTTTAGGTGTGAATCCATAAAGATGAGAGAGATGATTGTGAGGTTCCCAGTTATACTCAGCACGTAGGTGAGAAACAGAAAGATGAAGATCAGAGTTTTCAGTTGTGGGTCGTCAGTTAGTCCCAGGAGGATGAATGTTGTTAACGTGTGGTTTCTCATAATTGAAATGTTACCTCTAGTCTGCACTTAAAATTCAGAGATATCTGTTCAAGAGTAGCAATTAACAGGAGAAATATTATGAAACCCAACTCACATGTGTTCACACATTCTGTTTACAAACATAAACACACTGATTGCTTAGGTCCTACAAGTAGGTAGTTTGACCTTTTCAGGGTAGAGTTAGAAAATCAAATTGCCTTATCTACACCACATTTCAAGATGTTATGGGTGCTTCCTACTTTTTGCATTTGATCCTTAGTTTGTTATTATTTTTTACTTAATTGCTGTTTGGATTCATGTTTTTCCAAGCAGTTTGAGTTGGCTGCTAATGCTCCATGAGACTGAGTTCTTCCTTAGAGGCAGAATCCTGAAGTCAAATCTTATACTCTCTTTGGCCTGTTCATGTGTTTATTGTGGTTTTGTTATTTATAAAAATCACATAGTTTCAAGTCCATTGTTATAGGCTTTCTATTTGCTGTCTAATATACTGGAGTCTAGTATTATAGCTATGAACATTAGTATTTTCTTTAAACAACCCCTTCCTTAGTTATTACCCCATCTCTTCCTCTTACTTTTCAGTTCAAAATTATTGTTATCTTCTCATGGGAAAAAGAAAGAAAATGTCTTGAGGGCAGATTTATTGTACAGTACGATAAGTTATATATAAAGTATATACTTGACATGATCAACACAATTGGTATTACTGTTTAATTTTGGAATGCATTGAAAATATCATCAATATATTAAATAAAAATGCCATACTTAACTGTTAAACCTGTCTTCAAAGATAGCTCTGCTTCACTGTCACTTAACTTTGTGTTATATGGAAAGAATGTTATTATTCACACATATTCCATGCTGAAATACTCAAAATGCAGTATTTGTGAACACACTTGAACTATTCCACATCCTGATCCCTGATGCTTTTTGTTCTGTGAACATGTTCAGTTGTCAATATACCAAAGTCACATTTTGTTCGTTATTTATATTGAACAATTCATAGCAAAATTAATTAAACACTATGAAATTTGTTTCAATTGAGGGACTTTGTGAGTAGAATGTGTATTTTTAACCACACAATACTCATGGCATTCTTTCATAGCTTAACTTTGTGGCCCCATATGTGTTTATCTGTCACCTTTCTTCTTTGTAATTTTGAGACATTTGTTTTTCTTGCTGATGTCTTTATGTAGCCTGCTGTGTTTTATTATTTGTTAACATAACTCTTTTTATTTCCTTCAACTTTTAATCTCTAAAAATGATTACTCCTCATATCAGTCATATCACCGAGTTTACCTGGAACACAAGTCCAAAATGAAATACTTAATGTCTATACCTATATTCTATTTTATTTTGTATCTTTAAATCAAACCAGTATGTTATGGTTACTAAACCTTTACAATAGGTTGCACACTGAAGTAGGCACTTGGCTTACTTTCATTGCCTGGGGGGGACCAGCCTACAGCAGCACAGGGCTCAAAGGGAATCCACATTACATGGCATACTATGACTTTTTTCTCTGAGGGGGTAAGGGGAAAGATACACATTCTCTTGATGGTTTCCTTCTTTATTCTTCTTCTGTATTCTCTATTCTTTGTTTTCCTGGTGATTTCCTTCTCTCATTCTTGATGTTTTCCTTCTGTCTTTTCTCTTCCGTTTTCTCTCATTCTTTATTATTATTATTATTATTTTTATTTTGGTTTTTCGAGACAAGGTTTTTCTGTGTAAGCTTTGCACTTCTCCTGGATCTCATTCTGTAGACCAGGCTGACCTTGAACTCACAGAGATCTTCCTGCCTCTACCTCCCGAGTGCTGGGATTAAAGGCGTGCACCACCACCGCCCAGCTATTCTCTCATTCTTGATGTTTTCTTTCTAACTCTATCTTTATTCTTGATGTTTTTCTTCTGATCCGATCTTTATCCTTTCTTATTCTCTCATTCCTGATGTTTTCCTTTTAACTCTGTTTTTTTCCCTTACAGCTTTTATACCCCAGCAAAATCTTTTAAGCAATATAAAAATTACAATGTGGTTACATTCTGTTTTTCAAGTGAATGATTACAATGAATATAAGGAAAAAACAGCATGTGATCCTATAACACAAATCTTAAAAGGTCTTATTAATGAAAACAAACCCGGAGCCAGGTATTGGGGTGAACGCTGAAAGATCAGAAAAACAGAACCAGCGACAGCTAACCTCACCTCGCCAATTCCTTGCCAGATCTCGTTTTCTCAAACTGGAAGCCCCTGTGTCCTCATCCGAATGGATCTCAGCTGAACTGCTGCTAAAAGCCTAAAAGCTTAATAAGTCTCTAGTTCCTGTTCCTCATGCCTTATATGCCTTCCTCTGTTTCCTGCCACACTTCCTGGGATTAAAGGCATATGTCACCATGCCTGGCTGTTTCCAGTGTGGCATTGAACTCACAGAGATCCAGATGGATCTCTTCTGCCTCCAGAATGCTAGGATTAAAGGTGTGTGTGCCACCATTTTCTGGTCTCTATGTCTAGTGGCTGTTCTGTTCTCTGACCCCAGATAAGTTTATTAGGGTGCACAATATTTTGGGGAACACAATATCACCACGTTCCATAGCCCTTACATGATTAAGTATTTTATGTATTACAGGTGAAAAAAAATTATCCCCAAGAACCCATGCACTTTCATATTCAAGCAACTTGTTATAGTTTAACAGTGTAAGCAAGCAAGTTATTTTTCTCAGCCACGTCATTTACTGGCAGGCTGCATTTTGCAGTTACAAAGAAAGGACCAATTACTTTAATACTTAACCTTGAAAGGCAATCTTATAAGGAATCTTAAAGGAATCACAAACCTAAATTTTTATATGAAGGGCAACCAGTCAGCGATACTTTAAATCTTTAGGATGCACTTACTCATCAATATTTTTTTATATCAGGGGATTGAGGGCAGAAATGGGTATTATCACCTTTGGTCATCAACCAATCCTAGCAAAAAAGGCTAATGATAATTGGGCTGTTTTGTTCTTGTTCCCTGACCTTAAAGAGTTCCTCATTCAACTATGTGCCTTTCTAAAACTTTAGATTGTCTTCTTGGGCTTTTCACCTCAAAGCTATTTGACAAAAACATCTTAGTCTAACTTTAAGTTATTTTCAAAGCTTTGTTTCAGCTATGAGGCACCTAGAAACTTGTGAGTACATCTTCCAACATTAAGATTAAAAGAATTTGAGCCAGCCTGGCTCCTGGAACTCAATTGTTTTCCTTAATTATTAACCTGAACTGTGATCTATGTGGCTCCTTAGGTGAAACTCATAGGCCCTAGCTGTGTGACATTTCCTTGTATATATTTTTAATCATAAAAACGCTACTTAAACTAATGTTATTATTATCAGTTAGACAGTACAGCTGAAGAAGAAATCATCTTCATAATAATGCACAAGTAAAAATACCCAGTAGAGCAGGATGTTTCCATGAGATAAACATACTACATTACAGGCAGTGGTGATCTCCCCACACACATTCACACCATGTCAGATACCAGAGAGAGATGGCAGTGACAAACATGTAAAGTTACAGAGAAGCAAAAGACCTTTCTGAATCTGTGGTCTTGGGGCCTTTCCTATCTGAGATTCACCCATCAGGATTTTGTTTCCTGGTGGGCTGATCCCCTGAAGTTAATTGCTATCTGCTACTCCTCTGACATGGCCACCATCAGCTTACTTACCAGGAATAATTTTCCTTCAGTGCTCTTTGTTTCCAGTTCCATCCTTGTCCTTGAGTCTCCAATTCACAAATTTCTAGAGAACTGCATGTAGATATTTTTCCACAGCTATCAAATTACCCCATCTTTAGATGATCTCTTATTCCTTGTTGCTTTTTTTTTTGTTAATCCAGGGCCTTGGACAAGCTAGACAAACACTTAGCATGGAGATACAGCCTCAGTTCTCATTGTTGTGTAATATAACTTTATTAATGGCTATACCCTATCCAACATCAAACACTCTGAAATAGCATTTAAATCGGTACTATATTAGAGTTCCCATTCCTAATTTTAATGCAGTCATGAAGACCTTACACTAAAGGAACATGGGATCTGAGTCTAAAAAAGAGCCAGTAGTTGAAAGAATAGAATTCATCATATTCACACTTGTTCACAGCCTCTCTCTTAGTTACTTAACCACAATGATTTTTGTAAATATGATTTGAAAATGATTATTTCTGGCAATCACTGATTAAATCTATTCATGTCTACAAAAATAGTAGTCTGGGAATGCATAAGAGTTTAAATTTTCTGTTTTTAGTCAATTGCATTTACTTTCTCATTGATGATGCAATATTATAAGAAAATAACTTTCTTACTTTTTCTACCTCTGAAAAATATTTTCAAAGGAATACCTGGTAGTTTGTGAAGAGCTGATGTTCTGCAGTCTTTTTCTCAGAGAGAGGGTTTTCTAATATCAAGCTTGATACTTATTATTAATTTGCCATATCTACAGCAAATAAACACAAGAGTCCTTAGTGACCCAGGCTCAGAAATAACTAATGAATCATTTGTGGGAACAGGGCCTTTGGAGACTCAATGAAGCATCAAAGTCACTTAAAAGGAACTGCAAGTAAAACGTAGAATCTAATTAAAAGAAAACCTAGTCTAGTTTCTTATAATTAATTCTTATTATACGAGGTGTAAAATTTTTGTGTCTCACTTTCTGTATTATCAATTTGTTATGCAGTAGATAAATTACATAGGTTTAAAATATCACTCAGTTTTATTCTACAAAAATAATGTTTAAATTATGTTTTGAAAAGTTAATTAATTAATTAAATATCAATCTTTTTATGTGTACATGATTTGTGTGTTTACATAAGGGTGTGTGTGCCACAGCTATTTGTGGATGTCATAGGACAAGTTTGTGGAGCTGTATTTCTCCTTCAACAATTCCATGGATTCAGGGGATCAAATTCAGGTTTCCAGGCCTATACAAGTGTCTCTACTCAATGAAGCATCTCAATGGCTCCAGAGTATTATTTTTGCAAGTCAAATTATGGGGCTGAGGAGATGGCTCAGTGCCAAGAGTAAAGTGCTTGATGTGAAAATATGAAGACCTGAATTCTAATCCCCAAAACCCATGTGAAGCTGATTATGATAGTGTGACTTTCTAATCATAGGGCTCCTATGGAAGGTGAGAAATGGAGAGAGGAGAATCCACAGAAGTGTATGGGCTTGACATCCTGGCAGACAACAAAACGGGTGACATTGCTCTATAGCCCATTTCTTAATTGGACTGTTGGGCATTTTGATGTCTAATTTCTTGAGTTGTTTATATATTCTGGATATCAGTCCTCTGTCAGATGTGGGGTTGGTGAAGATCTTTTCCCATTCTGTAGGCTGCTGCTTTGTCTTGTTGACCGAGTCCTTTGCTCTACAAAAGCTTCTCAGTTTCAAGAGGTCCCATTGATTAAATGTTTCTCTCAGTGTCTGTGCTACTTGTGTTATATTTAGGAAGTGATCTCCAGTGTCAATGCGTTCAAGACTACTTCCTACTTTCTCTCTATCAGGTTCAGAGTAACTGGATTTATGTTGAGGTCTTTGATCCATTTGGACTTAAGTTTTGTGCATGGTGACGGATATGGATCTATTCTCAACAGAGGAAGCTCAAATGGCTGAAAGACATTTAAGGAATTGTTCAACATCCTTAGTCATCAGGGAAATGCAAATCAAAATGACTTTGAGATACCACCTTACACCCATCAGAATGGCTAAGATCAAAAACACTGAAGACATCTTATGCTGGAGAGGATGTGGAGCAAGGGGAACTCTCCTCCACTGTTGGTGGGACTGCAAGCTTGTACAGCCACTTTGGGAACCAATATGGCACTTTCTTAGAAAATTGGGAATCAATCTCCCCCAAGATCTAGCTATACCACTCTTGGGCATATTCCCAAGGAATGCTCAATCATACCACAAGGGCACATGCTCAGCTATGTTCATAGCAGCATTGTTTGTAATAGCCAGAACCTGGAAACAACCTAGATGCCCTTCAGCTGAAGAATGGATAAATAAAATATGGTACATATACACAGTGGAGTACAACTCAGCAGAGAAAAACAATGACATCATGAGGTTTGCAGGCAAATGGATGGATCTAGAAAAAATCATTCTGAGTGAGGTAACTCAGACTCAGAAAGACAAACATGGTATGTACTCCCTCATAGGTAGATACTAGATGTAAAACAAAGGATGACTAGACTGCTACTCACAACTCCAGGGAGGCTGCCTAGTAAAGAGGACCCTAAGAAAGACACAGGAATCACCCAACGACAGAGAAATGGATGAGATCTACATGAGCAAACTGGTTGTGAGGGGGTATAATGAAGGGCAAAGGTCAGGGGAAAGAGAGGTTAGGGGAAAGGGAGATTCCAGCTGGATCAGGAACAAAGAGGAAGAACAACGAAAGAGATACCATGATAAATGAAGACCGCATGGGAATAGGAAGAAGTAAAGTGCTAGAGAGGTCCCCAGAAATCCACAAAGATACTTCCACAATAGACTACTGGCAATGGTCGAGAGAAAGCCGGAACTGACCTACTCTGGTGATAGGATGGCCAAACACCCTAACTGTCATGGTAGAGCTCTCATCCAATGACTGATGGAAGCAGATGCAGAGATCACGGCAAGGCCCCAGGTGGAGCTCTGGCAGTCCAATCGGCGAGAAAGAAGAGGGATTGTATCAGCGAGAGATATTGAGACCATGATTGGAAAAAGCAGAGGGACAAATAGCCAAACGAATGGAAACACATGAACTATGAACCAATAGCTGAGGAGCCCCCAACTGCACCAGGCACCCTGGATAAGTGAGACAGTTGATTAGCTTGAACTGTTTGGGAGGCCCTCAGGCCCCCTAAGACTGGGACCTGCCCTTAGTGCATGAGCTGGCTTTTTGGAGCCTGGGGCCTATGCTGGGACACTTTGCTCAGCCTGGGAGGAGGAGACTGGACCTGCCTGGACTGAATCTACTAGGCTGAGCTGAATCCTCAGGGGAGTCCTTGCCCTGGAGAAGATGGGAATGGGGAGTGGATTGGGGGGGAGGGTGGGGGGACAGGAGAAGGGAGGACAGTGGAATCCATGTCTGATATGTAAAATTAAATTAAATTATAAAATTAAAAAAGGGTGACATTGTTACAAACAATGTAGAATGCTAAGAACAACACTAGAGGTTGTTGTCTGAACTCCACAAGGGTGTTGTGGCATGTGTCATATGTGCTGTCCCCAATACAAATTGTAAAACTTCTTCAGTCAAAATAAATATTAAACATTTGTAGATTTGACAACTGTAAGTATTCTAAAAGAAAGCAGAAATATACATTTCTTTTTACAGAGTAACATATCTATTATTTGAAGTCATGCAACATTTTACTAGCTAAGAGTCTCTATGGCTCTGAATCCATTGGGTGTTTACACAATTTGAAACTTGTTCTTTGCCACTATAAGCATTGATGTACCAAGTTGTCTTTGTGGTTTGCTTAGATCCTTTGGGGTTTGCTGGTAGAATCCTATAGTCCACAGATTGTATGGTAGTTCAAAAATTGTTGTTTCAGGAACCTTCATGCTTACTTCCATTTCCAGCAGTAGTGAATAAGAGTTTTTTGTCCTCCTCCCCTGTATCTATGCCTGGATTAGCTGTGTTTTGGATTAACAATTGTGACTAGGATGAGGTGGGATCTCAGTGTAGTTCAGATTTGTTTTTCACAGATACTCTTCATGGTCTCATGGCTCAAATTTGCTTTCCCCCAATTGTTGATAATGATATTGAACATTTAAAACATATGCTTATTGATCATTTGTATTTCTTCTGTTGAGAATGTACAGTGTAATTAGTTTGTCTTTTTATTGATTGTTTGCTATTTCTGAAGCTTAAGTTTAGAGTTCTTTATATATTCAAGACATTAGTCAGATCTATAGCTGTCAAAGATGTTCTCACATTCTGAGGGCCATATCTTCACTTTCATAGTTATTTCCTTTTTATGATGGAGCTTTGAAATTTCATGTAATCTCATTCTCCACTCTTAGAATTTTTTCCAGAAGTATTGGAATTATTTTCAGAACTCTTTATCTGTGTTTTCAATAAGATTTCCTGTAGTTATTTCAAACCTTCATGTCTTACATTACAGTCTTGACATATTTGAATTAATTTTTGTAGAGGGTGGTCTTTTCAGAGAGTCCCAAATGTCCTGGATGATTTGTGCCTTGAGATTTTTTCTTTGCAGGTTTAACTTAATTTTGGACCAAGGCATTCAATTTTTCTATCTTGTCTTCATGTCTGAGAGTCTCTCTTCCATCTTTTGTATTCTGTGGTGAGGCTTGCCTCTGAGTTTCTTCTTGAGTTTCTAAATTTTCACTTCCAGCTTTTCCTCAGTTTGAGTTTTCTGTGTTGGTTCTATTCCCACTTTTATGTCTTGATTTTTTTCTTTGTTTTATTCTACTGTTTGTGTTTTCATAGATTTCATCAATGGATTTATTCATATACTCTTTAATGACCTCTACCTTTTTTTAGAGCCTATTTTGAAGTCCTTGTCTTGTTCCTCAGCCATATTGCTTTTCTCAGGGCCTACTGTAGTGAAGTTGCCGAGTTTTATTGGAGCCATATTATCCTAGTTGTTATTGATTGTGTTTTTATGCTGTCATTTAGGTATCTGGGTTAGGCTGATTGTCATTCTAGGTTCTGATATCTGGTTGTGTTTGTTGGATAGGTTTCTGTTGCCTTCTCTGGTTCTTAAGAGAATGTGGTGGCTGTGGGTTGTGTGGTAAGGAATGCTTTTGTGATTCTACCAGGTGTGACCCCTGAAGGTCCTTGGCAGAATGTGTTCCTAGGTATTTGGAGCTGACACTTAGGAAGGAGAATGAGCAAAAGGGGGATTTTGAGAGTGTTCACAGGAGGGAGTAAAGCAGTATGTAACAGCAGGATCTGCATAGACCTCTGGGAATTGGGGCAGAGAAGGAGGAGTGGCCACAGCAAATGGTCTGCTGCAAACCTGGGGATGACTATGGGGGATTGGATTTAGAGGACAGGAGGGAGAGTGAAGATTGCCTACCTGATTCCTTGGCTATCATGGCTCCCTGAAGTGGGAGTCAAGTAACTACCTTATCATTTTTTTCCTATTGCTTTGCATAAATTTTCATGTTTTCAATCTTCCATTCATTTTCTCAATATATACGAATGCCAGATGTCTTGGGCTTTTGCTATAACAGCTAACAACCCCCAGGGAAATCCCAGGAAATGTTGGTTAACAAGAACTTAAATCAGTTTCTGGTTCATCTAAATGGTTTATGTAGATTTCAAACTGATGGTGACTGGGGAGGTCTTCCTAGAGAGTTTTTGAGAGGAAATATTAATAAGATTATTCCTAACCAGAAGGAAGCATAGAAAGTCATTTAAGAAGTGCCATCCCTTTTTCTAAGTGCAAAATAGATGATGAATTCTAAAGGCCACATCTGTCAACGGTACATATTACTTCCACATTCATTTGATTAGCTTCAATGTAAAATAAAAAGGAGCACCTAAAAGTGTGGGAAAATGATAGAAAATCACAAACTATTGTGTTTCCAGGGATAACAGACAACAATTTCAGGTTCACTGCAATACTAAACATATTCAAAAAGTTGAGTTTTAATGGAGATAAAGAATGTTGGGTTCATAATATTCAAGTTTAAAGAGAAAGTGTGAGTACAAACAGATCAAGTATATAGAAAAATATAGTAAAGCTTCAGATGCTGTGTTCACTCACTCATCTTTTAGTTTAGTCCTCTCCAATTTATATTACATCTTTGAGAGGAATGCAATTTTTTTAATTGAGTAATTGAAAGCTTGCTTCACTTGCTTGTTTCTCAGTGCATAAATAAAGGGATTTAACATTGGTGAAATTGATATGATAAGAAGTGAAATCCCTTTATTGATAGCTACATCACTCTTGGATGAAGGTTTGACATAAATGAAGATGCAGCTGCCGTAAGTAATGGAAACAACAATCATGTGGGAAGAACAGGTGGAAAAGGCCTTTTTCCTTTGCTTGGCAGAGGGAAATCTCAGAATGGTCTTGATGATATAAACATAGGAAAAGATAACACACACAAAGGTGATGATGAATGTCAACACCGCACCAACTACTACCATCTGTTCTATCAACCATGTATCTGAGCAGGAGATTTTCAGGAGAGGAGCTGCATCACAACAAAAATGGTCAATGATATTTGAGTCACAGAACTCCAGGCCCAAGCCTAGACTAATAGGTGGGAGAATGATGATCAGTGCTGCTACCCAACAGAAGAAGATGAAGTTCCTGCACACTCTGCTGTTCATGATGGTCATGTAATGCAGAGGTTTACAGATGGCCACATAGCGATCATAGGACATGATAGCCAGGAGGAAAAATTCTGTTACTGCAAAGAGATCTATAAACAGCAGTTGAGCGACACAAGCAATATAGGTGATGGACTTGTCCCCAGATGATATGCTATATAGAAATCTGGGGATACAAGCACTTGTGAGTGAAACTTCTAAGAAGGAGAAATGTTTGAGGAAAATATACATAGGCGTTTTAAGGTGAGGGTCGGTCAGAGTAAGGGTGATGATGGTTATGTTTCTAGATAAATTCAACATGTAAGAGAGGAGCAGGAAGATAAAAAGCAGAATCTTCAGCCTAATGTCATCTGTCAGATCCAGCAAGATGAAAGTTGTTACTGTTTCTCATTCTTGATTGTTGTCTGTTGTCCAGCCTGGTTGAAAAATAAGAAAGACTTTACGGATAAAACTTCAGAGTTCAGTCAGGTGCTAACCTCAAGACAAGCTAGCTTGAGTGTCATTCTAACCATTGGCTAGTGAAGAAGCAAGCACATAGTGCATGCTGATCTCTATCTTCTCTTTGTGTCACATGACAGCTCATATTTGAATCATGTATTTCATACTGATATTCTTAAGTGTCTACAGTCTAGCTGTAATCTATACCAGTTTAACACATAATCTTATCAGCATCATTCCGTAAAAATTTCCTTTAAATTAATTTAAATGAATTTAAATTAATTGCTGACATCATTGAAGAACCACATCCCTCTTATTCTGTTTTGAATTAACCTTGTTTTATTTTGAGATGTCTTAATCCTTTATTATAAATGACAGTGTCACCTAGTAATACCACATCAAGAGAGTAGAGCATAAATTTAATTCCATGTTCCTTTTCCTTTAGCATTCTATTTGTTCAAAATTGTCTCTGCTTTTCTACTTTCTACTTGTACATGAACCCATTTGATATTAGTACATTTTAAATTATTTTGGCCATAGTTATCACTGTTCGCTTCACTAATTAACCACAACTCAGTCTTTATTTAATTCACTTTTTCTGCTGCATATAAGGCTCTGACCTGTTTACCTCATGAAAGGCTTTATAGCTTAATTCCATAATCTCACATTTTCCTTAATTTCTTACTACATTCCCATTTTCTCTCATGGCTCATTTACCTTATCTAATCTTTATGATGGGGTAGAGTAAATCACTTTTCAAGGAATTGCTTCTGATTCTTACTTAGGAGAGTTTCTTTTTCTTTTTCTTTTTTAAATATTAAGATATTTTCTGTTCATTTTACATATAACCACAGATCCCTCTCTACTCCCTCCTCCCAACCCTAGCCTTCCCACCCTCCCCATTCCCACCTTCTCCAAGGCAAGGCCTCCCATGGGGAGTTAGCAGAGGAGGATTTTTTTTTTAATGAAGTGACTTGAAGTAACAAAATGATGCTCAGTTTCATATCTGTGGGGAAAATATATGGTACAGTTTTCCATCTTTACCATTGAACTTATTTAAGAACCTCTAAATCAAATTAGAGGGTCTGAATTCATGATTTACTTTTTGTATCTGAATGCCCTTGAACAATTTTCTTAATTCATTTATTTTGCATTATGTACAAGCAAAAATTCAAATAAAATGCTTTGTGTACTTTTTATTCATCTTTTTTTATAAGAGTCTCTATGAAGGAAAATTGTATTTTTAAAATTTATTTTAATTATATTTTAAATTTTGAAATGATAATAATTCTGTTTCCATGTTTCCCTTCCTTCCTCCAGGTCCTCTTATGAATCCTCCTGCTCTCTCCCAAATTAATGGCTTCTTCAAATGTTGTTACATATATGTGTGTATATTTCTAAATACTAAGTACAACCTGCTCACTCTGTATAATGTTGTTTGTATGTATATGATTTTGGGGCTTATCACTTGGTATTGGATAATCAACTGGGGGGTTTGTTCCCTGGGGAAGACTATGAATCACAACAGTGACCATCTGACATGATAAGTCCAAGGGTGCAGTAGTGGAATGCATACCTTGGTGTCAACCAACAGCTCTCCAATTGCACTTACATTCTGCTCGGCAAAAGGGAAATCACGCCTGATCCTGAAAACCTAACTAGTTGTCTAGAGCTAGAGAAGTCATGGATCTTAGAGAAGATATAACTTTCAATTTACTAAACCAGCAAATCACTAACTACAATCTAAATATTTATCCTTATACCCACAGATGAGTGTAGTTCCTACTCCTCATCAAGGAAATTTCCCTTTGCAAAAACAGACAAAAACTGTTACAGGAAACCACAACCAATCAACATGCAGAACTGTGAAACCTAGCTGTAATGGTTACATCTATAACACAACTACTATACTTAAAGCTCAGACATTATTGTGGAAGAGGGAGCAGAAAGATTGTAAGAGCCAGAAGTACAGGCTGTTTGCTGTGAGATCATTTCGTCTAGAAATGTCGGAGAATCTACATCCATGAAATCTTATCAACTTGGGTATCTAAACAAGATGCAAACAATAACCACACCAATAAATATGCTAACATGAAAGGGGGAAAAGCTCATGAGGCCTTAACTTTAGATAATGTGGTTTTAATTTGTATTTTTTTTTAATGATTAGAGATGTTGAACTGTAATATATGACTGCATTGGCCACCCCTATATCTTTTTACATGTATATGTTCATATATTTTGCCCATTTCAAAATTGTATTTTTGCTATTGAGTTCCTTAAATATTTTAAATATTAGCTCCATTGTGTGATGTTTAGTTGGCAAATATTCTCTCCCTATCTGTGGATTGTCTTCTCACTCTCTAAGTATTTTCCTTTGGTGTGCAGAAAATTTTTAGCTTGGTGACATCTCATGTGTCTGCTTTTGTTATGTTTTCTTCTAGTTATTTTGTTGTTTTAGGTCTTACATTTAAGCCTTTTATCGATATATCAAAAGTGAATGACAACACATGCTGCAAGTATGTGGAGAGAAGGCAACCCTCCATTTAGCTATCAGGAATGCAAAGTAGTACAGATATATTAGAAAATGATTTAAAGGTTTAAAAAAGGTAAAAATAAAATTACATTGTGGTCCCAAAGTCCCATATCTTGTTATATATGATTTTCTCCATCATAATAAGATTGAAAATTAAATTACCATATTGTGGGCTTGGCTTATTCAGTTAGAATAATGTCATTTTGTTCCATATGTGTTATTACAAATGCCAGAATTTCCTTCTTATTTAAGTTGTACAGTACTTTATTTGGCATCTATACCTCATTTTCTTTATTTATTCATCTATTGATGGGCACTTAGTTTTATATATTGGATATTTTTAATGAAGACAAAATGAACATGGGAATATGGAAATATCTTCAGTATATCATCTTTGATGTCAATACAATCCTTTGAATATGTATTTCCATGGATCTAGAAAGTGTTATAAAAAAGTTTGTGGAAGTAATGCTGAAATGAACATAATATTTGCTTGACCTACACAAATCAAATCATAGAATGACTTCTAAGAATTTTCTTTTTATATGAACCTTATAGCAAAAATTCATTGATGTATTGAGACTATCTTTAATATTGTAGTAATTGGTCTGACTCTCTATAATTCCTTCCTACCAACTGATGTCCAATGAGGGAGTATATTTCCTGCGCTTTTATAAACTTTAGAAACTATCTATGAGCTTTCTATTCCTATTGATTTCTTGGCCTCAGTTCCCTCAACAGTATCTAATCTATGGAGTTACTGTGATCATTGGTTGGATAATTCCCCAAGAATTCTTGGTGGATACTAAGTTAGGGCCAGTATCTCAGGCTCTTTTGTTCCTTTATGTCTTCCTTCTGCTTTTGTTCCTTTGTTCCTTAACCTGCTCTAACAGTTTTGCTAATTTGTTTTTTTAAATAATCAATGGCCATTGTGAATACTATATTTTTGTTCTTGTATTGTTGATAAAAGATGAGAATTTTTGATGCCTTTGGATTGAGTCATGCTGTGTCTACTAAGAGAGTGACAAGTGAAGGCATTAGATAATCATAATCAGACAAATGATTTTGGTTTGTAAGCATCTCTACAGAACAAGGGAAATAATTCAAGCATGGGAAAGAAATAATTAATTAAAATCAGATAGGCTTCATTAGGATTGGGATAGTATACTTCCAGAAAGGATCATTTGCCAATTGAGCTCAAATGCATAAATTCTGCCCTTAGCTTTTCATGTTGTATCTTAACTTATAGTAGAATTGCAGATTTGAAAACCTTCTTTAATGTCTGATCAGTAATGTCTTTTTCCCTTTGAACCTCAATATGAAGTGAATGTCTGATCAATCAATTCAGTCTAGGTACACTTTTAATGCTGAGGATTTCAAGTTCATTTGTTTTGAACTCAGTAGTCACAAGTGACAACATTGCAAATATTTTGGAGATTTCATGAAGGGTGTTACAGTTTTCATTTCATTTTCATATCATATTGGTGAAAGTGGCATTGTGGGTCCATTCTGTTTGCTTTTAAAATGATCTTGTCTCTGAGAGTACTCATGAATTTATTGAGTATATTTCTTGGAAATATATGATTGGTACAGATTAAATAATTAGGATAGAAAGAGTGAACAAGTTATGATCATATTCTTCCTAAGGATGCATGTATAAATTATTTCCAATGAATCCTATTAATTAATATATTTTATTTTTATAGAGCAGAAATGATATCATAAATATATATTTCCTGTCTAGCAACACTGATATTGATTTTTTGCTACCTCTGATTTTTTTTACTTTGTATTGCATTGTTTTTTGTTTGCTTGATTTTTTTAATTAAGAGATTTTTAAATTCATTTTACATACCAATCACACATCTCCCTCTTCCCTCCCGCCCCTAAGCCTTCACCCCACAAGCCACTCCCCATTCCCTCCTACAAGACGGTAAGGCCTCCCATGGGCTACCTCTGTTTTTTAAATGGATAAATGTGACTACTAAAGAGGCTAGGAAAATAGAATGATGGACAAAGAAAGAAACTGAAGTAATCAAACTTCAGAACAAATGAAAGAGAAAAGCATGCTTACTCTTCTGGAAAGCAATCATGACTTTAGTTGATCTATATTCTTGGTTTCCCTAAAAGTAAAGCTGAAAGTGTAAGCGTGATTAAATTTGTGCACAAACCTTATTAAGATGTACACAGACATAGAGAATTCTTTTACAGAATTTTTTGGTTAATGCTCTTCTTGGTTAACAGATTCACATTAAAGATTGTATTCTACTCTAAACTCAGTAACCAATTTATTATGTCTCAAAACTGAAATTAAGACATATAAATGATTTTCAGAGTATTTTGGTAGATGATTTCCAATTTCTCTGGACAAAAAGAATTTCAAATTGTAAAGAAAGGTGATTATTTTATTATGCTAGTCTTTTATGGATAAGTAGAGGATAAAGAAGAGAGTCTTTTGTGGCCAAACACAAACATGGGTTATGAATGTAATATTCACTAATTGGCAGAATATCAAACAGCGGCAACAGTGGGACTTGTGTCCTTAGAGACAAAAATATGCAACAGTTTTATT